ATTTACAACTTTTTAAAAGTGTAAGGACTTAGTGTGTAAATAACCCTAAAACTAGGGCATTTAAATATTGTTATTTCCCTTTATAATTTTTTTTTGGTAAAATCGTGTTTCAAACCCCTTTCTCTTAATCACCTCTCATTTTTTGGTTTTACTAAAGTTCATCATTGTCTAGACCATCGTGGGTTACATCGTCGGTACTAGAATGTTGCCCACATCGTTTCGAGTCTATCGAGTACAGTGTCGCCTCTTGGTCATTGTCGTTCTTGAGATGTGGAGGAGGTTGTTTTCAATCGTTTTCAAGCTTTGTTATGCCACTCCTTTATTGCTCACTGTCACAAAATAAAGATTGTACGAGACTCCTCACGCCATAATATGAAAATCTAGAATTTTTGGTGTCATTCCAGCCACCAGAGGTCGTCCCACGCACCACACGTGTCACCACTACGCGTGTAGGAGTTGTTTCTGCAACTGTCGATTTAATCTAATAAACCATTCTGACTAAATCAGTCTTGAACCAATCTACTTCAACTAAACCATTTAATCGACTAACCTGTTAATCTGACCCATTGACATTGATCGTTAACTTTGACTTTGACCCATTGACTTTTTTAAAGATCTTTATCTTAATGTTTTTGGACATTCTAAGTTCATTTTCACAGTTTGTTTTGCCAAATTATGATATGAAAGCCTTGTTTTGCATCTTTTAGTGCTTTATAGTATAGTTGTGTTAAGTAAATTCTGGAATCTATGATTTTACTCTTCAGTATTATATTCTGAAGGTGATCACATGTCTCCGTAGAATTATCTAATAGATCCAAACCACCTCTGTTTAGCTCAGCTCACCACACGTTCGATTCGAAATACACGACCTAATACTATTGTTCGTGGAAAGTGTAAGGCTTAACCGATATAGATTAGTTGATATATACGTGTTCCCTTAACCTGTTTGATACGTTTAATATTTTTCTTTTACTATATTGTGTGATGTAAGTATCTTTGTATTATTATATTTATATGTGATGTGTTTAATTTCATGTTGTTGTTTTATCACTGTTAATATGTGCATTGATGTATTTATGTTATCTGTATGAGATCCTCTACGGAAGGTAATATCCCCATTTTGTTTCTACATGAGATCCTCTACAGAAGGCAATATCCCCGTTCAGTTTTTGTTTGGGATTCTCTCTAGAGGGCATCCCCATCATGTTCATGATTTCTGGTGAGTTCCTCCTTGGAGGTAAACTTGGGTTTCTCTTCGAAGGGTAACATCCCCATCATATTTTATGGTTTTTGTTCTGGATCCATCTTCGAAGGTCTCTTACTCTCCTTCAAAAGGTAATGTTCCTCATTTTATTTATTTGTAATGAAAGGTGAGATTGTAAGAAACTCTGTATGATTTTCTAATGATAAATATATATTTTACTGGTGTTGGATTATCATGTTGTTTGATATATTATATCTAGATTATATGTATATTTATATTAATAATTATTTATGTGAGGGCATACTGAGGTTTCAGCTCACTATGTTTTTTGTTGACATTTTCAGGTTATCCATATGTATAACTGGTTTAGTTATGGGAGGAGCAGTCTCGCTTTTATATTGTGTGAGGTTAAATATTTGTTTTCAACTTCTTTAAATTTGTGACACGAATTTATTTTTGATTTTATAATTAATAAATATTTTTAAAATGATTTGTTAAACTAAATTTGTTCATAGACTATTTATGTGATCAACGAGGCTACTCTCATTCAATTGTAGCTCCTAGATCGAATCTAAATATTACAATTTGAACCAATTGATGATAAATACATGCATACCGTTTGAACATGAAATCTCTATAGAAATCACCCATTATTGATACTGACTAATGAATAAAATAAATGAATATTTTGTGTCAAACAAAAAGTACCCTATTGGCATGTCAATCAGATGACGTACTCGTGAGAAAATGTCACAAGTGTTAGAGTCCACAACGTACACGTCGTCGGTCGATAATGAAAGGCACGAAAGACTTTGTAGGGAGACTGACGTACTTGGCGCGCAGAGGACGGAATTTAGCTTATCCATTGAGTATTGTCGGTCATTTTTTTTCATGATAAAGGACTACAAAAAAATGAATATATGCATGGTTACTTCACATTTTCAGGTATCTAAAGTTCGATTCTCGAAGCTAATGAGATCTTGGTAGGTTGACAAAGGTTGAAATCATAAATTCTTGAATACCTAGATTCAATTCTTAGAAGTTCTAAATTCGAATACCAAAGACTACATGATATTTGAGTTTTTATTATCAAATAAACTAGAGTTTTTTTTAATAGATATTATCACTTTAAGCACCCTATATTAATCTAAAAAAATATATTACTTATAATTATGATCGTATCTTTTATTTATAACCAAAAAAGTTAGTTCTTAGAACTTATTAAATGATCTCGGTGATAAAAAGAAATACTGATTTTCTTAGAGTACTCGAGTTCTAACAATTACATCAACAAAATATATTGTCAATGACTAAAAAGAATTTTGGACATATACTCTCTTATAATCACATCACAAACTATTTAGAAAAATTACTTCTTAAATTGAAATTTTGTTCACTAAAAATACAAATTATCAAAGATAGATCAATGTGAATACTGATGCTGAAAGATTGGCGATCTGCTTTGTAAGTTTAGTTTTTATAGGTGGGTAGTCTTGTTACATGAAACGTTGCTTGCTCAAGGTAACCAGCATGTGATATTGCCAAATTCAGTTCATATGCTCGTACAAATTGCCAGCTAATATATACCATTAAATATAATCCATAAGGTCAACATTCATCTAAATGTAATTGCTTGTAGTGGTAAGTGCATTTAATTAGGTTTTTATCAAAGAAAAGTAAAGCTAATTAGGTAGGGAAATGACCATCCTAAGTTGAAATGGATGAAAATGCAGGCCAGTCACTTAAGCAGACTCCACATCTTTGCGGCTAAAACATAGTGGCTTGACCTTTCTAGGGCAACAAATAAAATCTCAAAATGGGATAGGTTTGGACTTTTCGTGCTGATCCAATATAAAGGAAGGCAGCTCAACAATATCGGCAGGATTACGATTTACAATATGATAAATTTACACTAACTGCACGTATTCAATTGCGTCACGGCATATAATTATTTTTATTAGTTTGTTTTGGTTATCAAACATGGACGGAGGAGAATTGTCCGTCCAGCTCAGTTGGTAGAGCACAAGACTCTTAATCTTATGGTCGTGGGATCGAGTCTCGCGGTGGGCAATTCATAATTCTGACTGCCGGAGGTCTTCCACGGAAGTTGCTTTCAACCTGGCGTTGGGGGCAAGCCTACTACCTTACCTCCCTCTTATCACATTACATATGGGAATAGGGTCAGCTAATATTTTTTTGAACATGGACGGAAGAGAGAGCGGAGTGATAACACCTTAAATTTTTTTAATTTTTTAATATAGTTTAATTATTTTTTTATCTAAAATTTTAAAATTTTGTATTTTAAATTTATAATATAAATTATTAAATATAAAATTAGTCAGTTTAATATAAAATCATACTTACCTCCAGGACAGTTATCAATGCTTTTTCTTTGCTTACAAGTGAAAAGAATTTGGTAAATGTGTACATGTTAAACACAATCAAATGCATATCTTATACTGCTGATCACATTCTAAATATAGACCTGCCTAATCAGCACGTTGTCAAATGCGTATCTTATAGGTAGATCTTGTGTCGATTGGGTCATGGGTCTATAGTTGTTAAATTAATGCATGAGGTAGGAGGACCGGACAAAATTGGCCTAGTAGGTCAAAGGGGTAAAAAAAATTGACTTACTGGATAACCTCTAAAATTAATTTGAGATCTATGACATTTGTTACATTGATTTTAAATTCATTATATTAATGTGATGAATTTTAATAAAATATTTTTTATTAGAATTCGTTATCTCGAAGTGATAAATTTTAATAAAAAAATATATATTTTTTTACACTCATCACTTAGACATACTAAATTTTAATAAAAAATATTATTTAAATAAACTCGTCATGTGAATTTGACGAATTTACCCTAAACTGTAACATTTTTTATAGATCCAAATTAAAATCTGGTTGACTTAATAGGTTAGTTCTTTTACCCGTTTAGTTTATTGAGTCAATTTTGACAAGAGAATTGTTCTCTTGGGCTAACCTTACCAAGTTAATAGGCCTAATCTTTATATAACTAAGGCTTAGGGTTTACTTGGACTACATCCCATAGGTTTCGGTTAATGGAAAGCTGCAAGAGATACCATTTGTTGATCACATCAGTGTAGGGATGGGTCTTCCAAAAAAAAGTATAGGATGGAACTTGACGGATTTTGATTTAATCTGATTTGATTAGGATTGATTTAAAAAAAATAGATTTGGGTTGGATCAAAGTTTTAGATGTTATGTTTGGGTCGGATAAGGTTTAGAGTAAGAAATATCTGACCTGACTTAATCGAAAAAATTACAATTTTATCTTATATACTTAAGGATAATTATAACAATACCTCTCTATATATTTTTATTTTTCAATTAAATCCCTATTTTTAATGAATAAAAGTAATATTTTTATAAATATATTAGATAGAGTATGGTCAAATTCAAATTTTATCTCAAAAGACGGATTGTATTCATATCTATAAAAGGTATATATTTTAGATCGAGTTTAGATCAAATGGAAGATGTATAATTTTCATGTCAGATCTAGTAGACTGAAAATCCGACATTGTTCAAATGCTAATGAAACACATATAATAAGGTGATTCATAATTTTTTAAAAATGCAAATAAATAATTAAAAAAATTAACTACCAAAATTCTTTTCTGTTGACTGTTAAGTTGAACATTGTAGGAGTTTTATTGCCAACCAGCCCTAAATCGTTTATCGGAAATATAGGTAAATATAATAAAAATTTAATACTTAATTCGAAATAATTAGAATAATTAATTTGGACTGCGGCAAGTGGTAAGAACACGATTAAAACGGAGCAAATATAAGAAAGAGAGAAGAAAAACCGAAAAAGCGTTCCATTTCATCAAGCAAACCTCTTATCATCTTCGCTTCTGCAAAGTTCCAGTTACCGCCCCTCCATTCGCCTATCAATTGGTACTTTCTTTTAGTCCTTGATTTCCTATGTTGTTTAATATTTTTGTTCCTCGATTCCCTATTTCCAACACTAGTTTTGTTTAGGGTTTCTTTGTTTCTGTTTGAAGAATCAATGTATCCGTGGTATAAGAAACTGGGTTTTTAGGCATCTATGGAATTCGATTTACAGATCTATATAGATTTCGATTTTAGTTTCTTCCATATATCCATAGATTCTCCTTGTTTCCTGTTTCATTTGAATGTTTTATTTTTGTCATAAGCTAGCTAATGCATGCAGGGCAAATCAAAATCGATTTTTTGATTATTGTTTTAATTTTTCTTCTAAGGAATGAGAGCAAAAGAATTGAAGCGAAAAGAGTAATAGATTCACAAAGAAATTACGGATAGAAGCAGGCTTGTCAATTCGAAAAAGTCAACAATTTGACCCGGTCAAATGAATCCTTATTGACTCGAACCCCAATTGATATGAATCTGAAACAATTCGAAGCCAAATTCCACATTAATCTTATCTAAATCGACTCATCCTTGAATCAAATCCTAGTTGTTCAATTGACAAGTCTAGATAGTTGCAAAGTTGGGTATTTTTTTGGTGTCATTTTCCTAATACCGTATTCTTCTTCCCCAAGTTCATGATATTTGTCTCCATTCGTTAGGATATACAAAAGATTTTAAACACGTTATGTTCATTCCTTGTGCACTTTATATAAAGTCCTTTAGTGTTGCTCCTATCTAATTTGTCTTTCGTTCCCATTGTTTCTGTTGAAGTTGAGTGTGTGACAAATAGAGATCTATTTTTCTGCTTCATCTAGAGCTAGCAGATCTTCATTATATGGATAAAAGGACACCCGAAAATGAGGGAACCGAAGAAGTGACTCGGGAATCACTCATCGCAATCTCTTACTCATTACCTGATAAGGTTGTTGCTTCCAAACTGTCATCAGGTAATTTGAATGGTGAAAAACAGTTTGAAAGAACAGGTTCCAATGGAGCCAAAAAATACAGGTCTGAATTGATCTCGATATCCTATTCCCAGTCACCTGACGATAAGGGCTTACCATCTCCATTGAAGGGACTAGAGAATTAGCATTGCTGTCTCTTCCCCTCCGTTACGCGTCTCTCTAGGGTTCGGGGAAGGGCTTTTCTTGACCTTGGGATTGGGTCTGGTATGAGCTAGAACTGTTTCGTTGTCTATGTTTGTTTTATTGATGGAACTGCCAGTTTCGCAGCTGATCATTTGCTATATAAAACCTTCCGTTACCTTTTCTGTCAATGCATGCTTTGCAATTTCTTGTGCTCACTTTATGTGAAATATGTCTTTGATACAAGCTTCTTTGATGCTCCACGAATTCTGTGCGGTATTGCTGATAAAATTTTGTGGTAGGGACACAGCTCAACAGTTGTGAAGAAAATTTCTCTATTTGATGAGTATCTTTGTTTGTCAAAAATATTAAAGTAAATATAGGCGAAATTCATTGCATGGTATAGAAACATTGCATGGGTTACCATAAGCTGCATGTCATTTTTAGCAATTTAACCTGATCATTCTTAGAATTGAAAAGGATTGTGGATTTATGACATTTGAATCCAAATTCAAAACTGTGAAATTTGGAAGCAAATTCCTAAATGGGTTATTCTCAGGAAATTATTTTATGATTTTTTTTTCATCATGCTGTTTATGGTCTCGATCAATGAAAATTATTCATCTTTGTCTTTTTACTTCATGGTATTAATCTGCCTTTACTTTAATATTAACTTTTTTTTTAGCTGAGGTGATTACAATGTAGTATTTGTTTTAAAGATTCTAAATCATTTGATGATGAAAGTTTAAACACCTCCATAGATATTGGTGTTCGAATCCTATGTTGCACTGATATGGATACGGGGACGGATATGGGGATGGGGACGGGAAACTGTAATTTTTAAAATTATAGTATACGGGGACGGCAAGAATACGGCATATAAAATAATTTTAAAATTATAAATATACATAAAAAATCATAAATAAAGTCAAATATCAAGATTTAAACAACAATATTAAGTTTAGAACAATAAAATCCATAAACAAATCAAAATATTAAAATGTCAAATTTCAAGATTCAAATTATAATATTAACTCTAGAATAATAAAATTCATAATAAAATTATAATATTTAAGTGTCAAATCTTAAGACTCAAACCATAATATTAAGTCTAGAAAAATATTAAACACGAATAAAACATTGTCAACATCTTCTGAGATTAATTGGCTCTCTAAATCCGGTTCATCAAGCTAGAGTTCGGCAAACTCTAAATATTCAACATCTCTCAATGATCAAAAAGCATCTCCATCAACATCCCACATCTTGATTTTCTCTTCCTCGTATTGACTAGAACTCCTTGATAAAAGACGAATATTGTAGTGGATATAAACTAAATCTTCGACGTGACTCGGATTTAACTTATTCTTACTAAGTTTTTCACTTTTTTCCAAAAAACCTGTAACCCTTTTCATGCAAATACATGAAAAAACAATTATGCTGTGTTACCTTCCAATATAACATTCCGATTCTTTAGAGACCAACTTCAAATACCAAATAAATGAATACTCACTCCTCCACAACCAAAACCTAAACACCAACAACTGTGGGGACCAATTTACAGTTTCGATATCTAGCCGCCTGTTCTATGTATTATCTATTCCTTTTCCTTCTCTCCAACGACTTCGACTGATGCACTTTCTTACCTTCTCTTTTTCCCTGGTCGAAAAGTCTAATCATCCCTGTCATTTTCCCAGCCATCTCTGTTCGATGATCTTGTAGTTAGGCCATTTGCTGAGATATTCGGTACATTGCGTCGTCCCATTGGTGATTTGACTGCCTTGTCCTCGTCCCAATCACTATCCCAACCCTGGTCCCAACCTCTTGTCCTCGTCCCAATCACTATCCCAACCCTGGTCCCAACCTTCAGCTGTTTCTACTTCAGTAGCTGCCATGGATTCTGGTAATCCCATTTCTAGCTCTTGGTAAGGTATACCGTCATGCCGTCTCTTCTAGCTAAACATACAACAAACCCAACACCCTCCGAAAACTAAAACTGTTGCAATCAAGAAGTATGCTCCATTTATTGGAGTCAGCAACTTGTCATAAGAAGGAAGGTTTAAGAAATGGTTCCCTTTGGATGCAAGGGGTTCATGCGTAGCACACAGTCTCCATTTCCAGCACTTACCAATAGCTCACCAGCACTTTCAAGGGGGTTCTCATTAGTAGCACAGTCTCCTAAGATCCAGGGGACGCATGTGAAAGTCACATGCGGTCCCCGAAACGTCCCCAAGTCTCGGTGAAACGTCTCTGACGTCGTTCAGCTGTACCCTACTACTATGGTACGTCCTCGGTACGTACCCCAATCGTCCCCGTGCCGGGGACGTATCGGGTACTTGAAATGGCACAACTATGACGTACCCGTGCTTCCTAGTTCGAATCTAAGATCCCAGGACCAATAACTATTCATTTAACCATTTGATTAAATTCTAACTAACGACACACTTATATGTATCCATGAGTAAAGTGCAGATTTATCCTTGGAAAAATAACATGTAGAAGAAAATATATAATGGATGATTTTTATTGGTCTAGACTTTGGACAAATAATAAGAAAAGCTTATATAATAATTTGAAAACTTAAATATTTTCGTATTTAAACTCATTTATGGTATAAATTATAATTATTAAACTTTAATTACAGTAATAAATTAGTTTATATATTATCAAAAAATAAAATTGATTAATTGTGTTTTTAATAACATACCATCAAGTTGAATTCTACTATAATATTACTATAATTAATATATATATTTTCTTTAAAAAATTTAAATTCATAAAATGTATATAATTTTTTTTACAAAATTAAAAAGATAAATAGGTTTAATGAAAGGGTAAAATTTTATTTTAACACCTGAACTTCATATAAAATTCTAATTATGGATTTTTTTGTAAATATAAAATAGTTTAAGGATAAATTTGTAATTTAACCTTCGTAGAATTTTTTTTATTCAACGATAGATAAGATATTTTTGAAAAAAATTTAAGGGTATTTTAATCCAAAACGCCAGTAATCCAACAATACCTAAGAGAATGGGGTATTCACATTCAAGGTAATATACCTTAAAATATCACTGTTATGAATAAAAGATTATCAGGGGTTAGAAATATTTACCAACCAAAAAGGGGAATAATATGATTTAAATCAAACACGCCCTTAAGTCTTTTGAGTCACCACCCGACCTCCTAATTCATATCATGTGTATGGTACCTTCTTGGCCCTCCTTATCATCATGTAAAAAAACAATAATCCATCAACTGAAGTCTTCTTATTATTCAAATATATATATATATATATATATATATATATATATATATATATATATATATATATACAAAATAATAAATTATTAAAAATAATTTAAAAAATATGCATGTCATAAAATATATGCATATAACATATATTTAGACAGATTAAATATATTTGTATAATCAAATTAACAAAATTAACATAATTTTAAGTTTATATACATTTCAACTTTCACCACAAATGTCAAACATTTTTATATCATTCTAAGTATGATTTAATTATCGTTCAATCATATTAGTAACCCTTATATAAAATATCTTTACTAGATCAATTAAAATTAGAGGTGGACAACTGACAACAAGTCGAGTTGGGTTGATTTTTGATCAACTCGATTTGATCCGAAAATATATACCTTACATCTGAATTATATCTAATCCGATTCAAAAATATATACTCTCCACTCAATCTCGATCCGAATTTTTAGAACATAAATTTGATTCGATCCGACATTAAATAAAGACTTAATTAAAAATAATAGAGATGAAGTATTCTAGGACTTACCCATAAATTTATTTGAAGAAATTATATTATTACCCTCAAGTCATGTCGAGTCAGAGTTTTTTACCACCACTTAGATCCGAACCCGATCCGATCTTACTCCATAAAATTTGATCCGACTCGAATTTGATTTTTCTAAAAAGATATCTAACCCTATTGATTTGGTTCGAGTTAAATTACCATCAATAATTAAAATGGAAATATTTTGCATCTAAATAATCAATATTTTATTTATCTTTTAGAAGTGATTTTTCTAAAAAGAAATCTAACCCTATTAATTTGGTTCGAGTTAAATTACCATCAATAATTAAAATGGAAATATTTTGCATCTAAATAATCAATATTTTATTTATCTTTTAGAAGTGATCTAATGAACTTTTCATTAATGGTTAAAAGAAGTGTTTTAAAAAAAATCACTTTATTTATGATATAAAGAGACATCACATTACTAAGGATCTCGTCAATCACCAGAAACTGCCGTACACTAACCACAACCCTCCTACAGTAGAGCCACTAAGCTAGAAAACTGGAACAAAGCAGGCCAGGTATTGGAAACAAGAGAAACAACAATATAGCCATAACGAAACCCACATTAAGTCCTAATCAGGGGATATCCTGCTGCTAATTTAGCCAGTTGGTCTGTCGCTGAGTTGCGGCTCCTTGGACTGTGCTTCACAACAAAATTCTCTCTCAAAAACTGCTTCTACTACCGATCGGATCGGAGGGTCTGCACCCATTAGGGGGGAGTTAATGAAGGATTCCTCAGACACTTTACCACTACTTCACAGTCACATTCCAGGATAACCTTAACAGACTTATACCAAACTGAACCTATGAAAAACTTAATCACATAATCCATTGCCAGGATTTCAGCCTGCACCGACGACCCACTCCCAATAGGGATCGAGAAGGTTGCTAGAACAGAACTATTAAAGTCTCTAAGAATCTCCCCAATGCCTCCTCCACTTCTATTAGCCCGCATTGAGCCATCTACATTGAATTTCAGAGTTCCTCTCGAAGGTAGAATCCAAGCCAACGGAGGAGCCGAACCTTTCTTTAGGAGAAGAGGATCCTTCGCAATCGTAAGATCGACAGCCACATTCTCCACTCTCATTGGGGCCGATGGGAATTTAACTTTCACCCAACAAGTTGTACAAAACTGAAGAAACCCAAATGACGACCGTCAAACTCCTTACCATTAAAGACCACTTCATTCCTCAGTAACCAAGTCGACCATATAATCACCAATGACAATAATCCCTATACGGTTTTGTAGGACAATCTTGGGGGAAGGGACTCGCACCAAGCCTGCATAAAGCATATAGGATCATTTGGGAAGGCAATAGAGACTCCCCACAAGGGTAAGAAAAATCGATTCCGGGAGATCCATGCAGAGCGGGCAGTGGTTATCCGACACCAAGACTCCTCTCTTTTCAAGTTCCACTCTAACCGAAACTCTTAGCCGGAGCACTCTTCCCAATTAAAACCAGGCTGCCCACTTGTACCACCTAGGTTTGACGTTGACTTAACCGGGTAAATACCATTGCTAGAACACAACCATTTCACCCAATCCGACCGTGAGGACGAACTCACAAAATTGTCAAGGAGTCCAAGCATATCGTCCCAATGTTGCCTTTCCCAATCGAACAAATGCCTTCTTAGCTGAATATTCCAATTTCATCCCGCATCATTTTGCACCCCAAAATCAGAAATCGGACCCTCTTTATTCATAGCCAAAGCAAAGATTCCCGGAAACATTTGATGACAGCCCCGTCTCCAACTTGAAGACTCTTCTCCTCTCCCATTAAAACGAAAGTAGAAAGGATTCCACGCCACATCCAAGAGGCGCAAATAGCCTTCTGGTCAAGGTTAAAAGAAGTGTTGTTTTTTTTTATAAGAACTAGAATGTGTATAATCAATGACTAAAAGAATTTATGAATATATATGTTCATTTTTAATATAAAAATTAATTAAAGAATAAATAAAAAGTTAAACGCAATTCAACTTACCATAGTTTCAAACATCAGAAGAGATGTTCAACTTAGTGAATTTTTTTCTCAGCCCTACCCATAAGTTTACGAAGTGTGCTAAACTAAACTATAGATCATTTGTACATCGTAATAACTGATATCTTTTCTTTTGGATGGCGAGCATTGACATCTATCCAAAGCAGCAGTAAAAGCCTTTGGGTCCCTTCCCTTCAATCATATATAAACATGCAGATAGAAAACAAAATATTTTGATTCCAACAAGGTCTTACAGGATCCAACATTATAAATGTAAAATTTCCTACTTGGTTATAATGCTTGTAAACACCACAACTACAGCATTAAACTGCAAATTTGAGCTCCTCAGGACAAAGTGTCGTGCAAGCCATTGACTTCATGGTTCAGCATCTGTAATTAATGCTGTCGGCATTAAATTTTAACAATTACAAACTTTCCTAAAACCAAGTCCAAATTGTTTCAAATCGCTAAAATTAATATACCATGGATTCAACAGAATAGAGCATATCTACCTTATCAGTGCCTACTCTTCATCAAACTTTATCTTCTTCGGTGCAGGCTGAACGATGCCCACCTGCAAAAATATCAATTAGCACATGTGAGCGACACAATATTGGAATTCATAATAAGTACATCATACTTCCAAAAGGGGACGAAAAGAAGCATACAAAAATCTAAAACAGGATGAATGCCAAGTTCCTTGTCCTTGTTCATCTTCCACGTCAAATCCATGAAGGATCAGACTAAACTAAATTGGCTCTAAGCAAGTGCTGTAATACTAAATGTTCAATCTCCTTCAAACTATCTTTTCCTAAAGATTGTCCAATTTCAGCGATACAGACTAAAGCAAGCAAAAGATTGAAGACACAGATTCTTACAATTTCAGGGCACTCATAATCAATGCCAGCAGTCTCTATCCTCTTTCTACGCCTCGCATCACGTTTTAGGATCTTCTCCACCAACTTTTTATGCTCTTCTAATGTTCTTACCTGTATAGCCAAACAGAAGATTTTTTTTCAAAAAAGAATCAAACAAATCAGCTAGCCATTTAAACAAAAATATGCCAGACAAGTTCCCTAATAGTATGATTACCTTATTATGCTTCTTTCGTTCGATTTGCACATAGTCCACTGGTTTGTATTTATAATTGAAACCTCTCCATCTATATAACAAAGAACACAGAAACACCAGTTTATCAAAGAACACACAGAAAATGGTTGCGGTAATAATCACATATCACCTGGTCCTCACAAACAAGCTACCTTCCAATTCTATAATTTGCTTTGTTGGGTCAATGTATATAAAAATAAGTTACAAAAATACATGCATACATTAGAAACTTTTCTCCCAGTTAAGTTAATACATGCATAAAATGGGTAATCCACCTACTCAATCTTCGGTTTACTCAGAATTTGCATGTAGACTTATCCAACACAAGCCACATACACATTTTATCCGTTGTGAAAATAAGTTACACCCGCTTTTTTCAACATCTGTTATCACACTTTTTTTAGGATACTTGTGGGACTTGGATTCCTTGTCCAATTAAAATATCTTTCCTATCACTCCAATCTCAAGCAAAGACAAAAATGGGCCAAAGGTCAACATTTCCTAGGTCCAAAAAACTTGCTGGTACCAGGACACACAAGGTCTTATTGGGTTATAAATTTGGGGATAATATGCAGTAAATAAAGCATAACGTCTGCATGATTAGAAACAAGCACTAGAAATTTCCTGAAAAACATGCACGGATAAGAAACTTAAGTTATTGAAAACTCATTGCTTACAATTTTGGATTAACATGATCAGGAGGAACAATATGGACTTGCAAAAGATGCTCAAACAACAGATAATTATGCATACAATCAGCTACAACTTCAGCCACCTACAGCCAACAAGAAATAATTGTCAAAAACCAAAATCACGAAAAGCAAAAGACAGCAAATAACAGAAACTGTCTACGACCTGTGGATTATCAAATTCGATGAAACCATAGTGCTTTGATTTTCCTGTCTGTTAAGCATCAATGAAAAGATTGCAAAAGAGAGAAAGCAAAACACTTAGTAATTATATTGTCGAAATGTAAGTAAACAATAAAAAGCTTGAAACTGACAACATTATATCCAGAGGATACCACATTCAATTAAACTGCAGAGAAATTCACAAACTTCAATCAAGAAATTTCAGAACCAAAGAAGCAACAACTCTAATATTCAATCATTATTAAAAATCAAATAAGCGTAGTCATTTAACGCCCAACAACGTATAAGGTCCTCATTCTAAAGCATTTTTCCAAAATATACTTACAAATAAAAGAAAACACCCCATGTGAACCATGAATGCAAATATGCTAACAAAAACAGAAATATTAACGAATGCACATAACAGTGAAATTGACGCAATTGCTTAAAACCTTTTTATTTCTTGCGATCCTCAATCTCTTAATGGCACCAAACTGCTTAAAATAAGCTGCAAGGAAATAAATAGTTCTCAATAATTTGAAGAAAAAAAAAGCTTATTCAAATATTCCATCCTTTTATGCAATATTCATTTACCTTCCATTTCTTTCTCATAAAAACCGTGTGGTATTCGACCAATATATAAGACGGTAGCTTTGTTTTGTAGGGGTTTGGTTTCTGGAAGCTCAAGCGATGGATCGCCTTCCAATGGCTTTATTCACATGTATATGGAGCATTCAAAAACCAGTTTAGGGTTACAAAAAAGGAAGGAAAATCAAATCGAAGATAAAAAAATTAATTCTAACAAAAAAACATACCAGGAAATCCGCAGATGCAGTTTTGGAATCAGAATTCGGAAATTGAAAAGAAGCCTTCTTTACAGCTTTCTTCGACGCTTTCCTCGCCTTCGCCCCCATCTACTCAAAACCCTTTTCTTTTAACCGAGGCTGCTGTTTTTGGAAGAAAAAAGCTTAGAACTAAAACCCTGCCACAGGATCTAGCAGCCGGGAAAGATATATATGTATATATACCAGGCTAAGTTTCATGAGCCCTATACTACATTTTATTAAGGTTTAAGCCCATTAATATTATCGGTCCATAATTTATTCTCAATTCTGGTTTTTTTTTTCAATAGAACAAACGGTTTTATCAATTAGCCTCGAGTTTATTTTGAGATCTACTGTATTTGTTACAGTATTTAATAAACTCGTCATGTTGAGATGATAAATTCTAATAAAATATATTTTTTATTAAATTTTATCACTTCGACATGATGAGTTCCAAGTCACTGTAATAAATACCGTAAATCCCTAAATAAATTATTTTGTGCAGTATTGAACTAAATCATTAACCTGTATACCGTGTTGTGCTAAAATTGCCTTCAATTCTGCCATGTATTCTACAATTATTTTGGGTTGTATTTAGGGATAAATATTTCATTAGAATTCAATGAATTTCAACTTAATCCGATTAAATGGGTTTTTTTATTTGAAAATTTAGGTTTAGTTCAGGTTTTCACAAGGGTGAAGTTAGGTCGAATTTTAGTTTAGGATAAAAAAGGACTCTAATTTAATCTAACATAATATTATAATTATTATTTATATAATTGATGATATTTATAAAAATAATCATATTGACCTAAAAATCGAATTAGATTTCAGATTGAGTAAGACTCTTCTAAACCAAAATCAACTTAATAAAAATGAATTATACATATGCTAAGTTGAGTATGAGTTTTGACCTAAAAATCAAATTAAATTTCAGATTGAATGAGGCTTTTCTGAACCAAAATCAAGTCAGGTGCGAGTTTAAAGGTTAAATATTCGGACCAGTTTTGGATATACTGAAAATCCAACTTATATTTGATTTGAATATACATTAATATAAAGTTCAGTAGTAAATACTTCTTAAAATTACACCAGTAATTTGGTTTCAAGGGTAATGTAATTAGCCCAGAATCAATCAGTACAATTAGCAAAAAATACTAATTCATATGGAAAGCACAAGAAAACCAATAATTTTTCTTTGAAATACAAGCCAAATCTTGCATTGCTCATTATTTGGCACAAAAACCTTTCCAAACCCTTTTTACACAATAAAAAGAAAACAAACAAACAAGCAGTTATCTATATTTCTCATCATGTACAGCACATGAAAGATCTTCCTTGTAATATGATGCTCTGGGGAACTCAGGGAAGTCGTTTCATGGACAGACTGTTCTTCTCATTGATGCCTAGTGTCTCACCATTGTATGTGGACCAAAAGGAAAGTCCACCCTTGTGTGGCATGTTATACTCGAAGCAGGTTTCGGAAAATCCGAGCCGCTGCCTTGGTGTGCTCATTGACCTTGCCTTCGCTTTTGCAGATTCTGTTGCAGCCATATATGTTGGAAAAACTGGGGAACTTGGAACCGAAGTCTCGTCTCTGGCACGACAGAACGATCTTCTTGGAAACGAAAACGGCGAGTTCAGTCCGTCTAGCATGTCTTGCTTTTGCAAATTTCTAAATCGAATATGAGGTAGGCCATGTACTTCCCATGTACCCGAGTTCAAAGCTTTGTTGGATGTTAAAATCATCACTCTTTCATTTCTATTTCCCTCGGCATTTGCTTCTGCTTCCACAAAGCTGTTCCTTCCGGTTTCTTTGATACGCATGGATTCATCGAGCATTCGAGTACTCGCTCTCTCCTGAAGGAAATGAGACGATAACAATGGCAATGAAGCATATGATGTGTACTCAATAGCAGAATAAAGTTTACTAGAAGACACGATAGAGACGAAAAATTACCCGATGAGAATATGAGTATTTCTTCATACGCTCTCTTTTGGCCATTGCTTCCTTCCTTCTTAAGGATATGGCTTCAGCTTCTTCTTTAGAAACCGCACGGTCATTCCAACCCCTTTGACTATAGTAATCATGCTGGCCACGACAAAATGTCTAGTGATTGAACTAAAGTGGCAATTTAGAACCAGAGATCATACAAGGCAATAATGCAGCACATTATATATGAATTTTTACAGCAAACGTCCTCATCCATGTAATGAAGATCAGGAAAAGTATGGTAAATAAATAGTTTGGTTTGAATTATCAAACATACTTTAATGATATCCGTGTCCTGCAACTCATCTTTGTTTACGAGACTCTGATTTTTCCTCGTGTCTGGACAAACAAGTTTTGGTGTAGAAATGCTCTTCTCCTTGATCTCTTGGTACATTTTTGTATCAGATTGCAAGCACTTCATAGTTTTCATTGCTTGATGTCGCACGACTTCGCCGCGGATGATGGCTTGGAGTTTCACCAGTCCCCTTAGTGCCCGTAGGGCTTTCCTTGCCTGCTCAACAGCAGCTTCAAAATCATATCAGTCCAATTCGAAGAACATCTAATGAAGTCAACAATTCCCTGAATCACATTCGACACGATCCAAAAAAATGATTGTAGATAACAGAAGAGCAAGGAATTCGAAGGTAAGCTCACCAGATGTGCCCGGAAAGCGGCTTGTATCTTAATAGCAGCCCGATTCCTGTCCTTTGCTGTGAAATGATGGAAAGATTTAGATGCTCCCACAAGACGGACAACCTCTGCCGCGGCTTGTGCGGCGGCAACCGCGGCCTCGGCTGCAGCGGCAGTGGCGATGGCGACGTTCAAAGCATGCTTTCGTTGCTCTTCCGTTGCTTGACACAACGATTTCTGCGGAGGTGCCGCCAGTGCAGGGTGGTATTGCTTGAGCTTCAGTCTTCCAAAAATCCATCTACACCTCTTTGATTTCTGGAAAATACAACCCAACTATTTGCAAACAACAAAGAGACTAAAGAGAACCAAAAAGATGAATCAAAGCTATCAATTATTCAAAAAAGGAACAAAAATTAAGTAATCTGTGACTAAACCTTTTCAATTTTTGGCTTTGCATCAGAAGAGAAAATCTTCTTTACCCAACTAAACCAGCTCCTTTTCTTTCCCATTGAAAGAAGTCATGGAAGCTCTCTAATTAACTCCATTCCACGCCATCTTTTATACTTGAACTCAAACCTTATTTTCATGAAAATAAGAATCAAACCCAGAATTGAGTATACACTCACGGATATATGTTAATATATATACACACTCTATAAACTGCAGCAGAATGTTTAAAGAACCCCACTTTTTCATAAGCTCAATCATGAAAAAAAAAAAAAGCATTATGAAGATTAAAGAAGAAGCAAAAGCAGAGCTGAATTAAATTCTTTGTTTCATGATATTGACATGAGTGAATAAAAAAAACACAGGGACAACTATGAGCGTGTATATTGTTGATAATCGAAGGTGGTCTTGGTCTTTGCCTTTGACTCTTTAACTTTAGAGTAGTATTATTATATAAATTGGCTTTGATGAAGTCATGAAGCTAAATCATTGCGGGTGATGTGGCGAATGCAGGCAGCTTGATGAAGAGTGAGTCATGGTGTTTAAAGGGGCCGTGTGTGTTTTCACTTTCTAATCCCAACTGTCGTTATCACGAAACTGCCCCATCACCTCTTCAAATGTCTGTTTTCAATGGAACATGTCTTTAGACTCACATGCTCTCACTTTCTTCATGGAAACTAAGCACATTGGCCCATCACCACCTTTCCCTTTACATAATATCATAAATCCACCCCAGCTGCCTCTTTCTTCCAATCCTTTCTAACTTCCCCATTTTCCCTTTTTACTTTACATTTTCCTCGAATTTTAACTGCTAATTTATTCAACGCTTAATTAAAAACGTAAGTGGTCAAATTATATATATTGATATTTAAATTGTTTGATTTATTTATATATCAAACGTTACAAAATGTCACTTCAGGTGCCTTGATTATAGGTTGGTATTTTAAATTTTTTATTTAAAAAATTAAAATATATATCTTTCTTAACATTTATATTTAAAAAAAATAAAAATATAATTATTTTCTAAAAAGAACTTTTTTGAAATTAAAAAAAAAAACCTCTAAATTTTTAAAATCTTTAAATCTAATCTGTGGTATTACTTTCGTCTATCGTCTCTAATCACTACTTCCATCGTCAAATGACCACTCGTCTATTGTCACTCACTCAATAACCGGCCATCAATTTTGCCGCCAACTGACATATGTCCCTTAAGCTACAACATCTTCTCATTCTCGGTTTACTTTAAAAACTCGGCTACCAACTTACCCAGATTTTCTCGACATTATTGCCTCCTCTATTTTGAATCTAAAAGTTTTAACCGATTTTTTTTAAATATAAGATAAAAATAAGATAATATATGTTTAAAGATAAAATCCTTTAACAATTCAATCCCATTCGTAATCTCTTTAATTTTTTTATTTGCATTTGGGTGGCGAACCACCATGTTCGAGCAGTATGCCTCTGCAATGATGTGGCAGGAGTCAACTTATCCTCTTCAAGGCAATCTAACTCTTTAAAAATCCTCAAAACATCTTATAGTCAATACTTGGCTACAGTTAATTCATCAGTGCTCAATCTCTAAAAATGGGCAAAAGAAATTCATCAGCTATTTGTTGAACGAAGATCTCTGGTGAAACCCAAAACTTCGTGTGCAACGAAGATACCTGGTAATTGGGGTTTGGTGAACGGCAACGACCGTGGTAGCGATTAGCGACCGCGATAAGTGAGTGATTGTTTGGTGATGGCGGCGGCAACAATAGTGACCGCGAAAGTTGAAATTGAGATTTAAAGAAAAAAAATAAAGTTTTTATATTTTAGAAAAAATAGGATTTTTTTGAAAATATTTTTAAAATAATGTTTTAAAATTTATTATAATATAATATGTGTTCCTTAACATATTTTTTTAACTGTTGTTACGATTGATATACCTAAAATGATTATATTTATAATGTTAAATAATTAGATAAATAAAAGAAATTAACCATCACTTAAAAAACACACTTATTTTCTAATTAAGCGTGTACTCAATTTGCCAATGAGGATGTAGATTTCATGACCCAAATACTCAAATTCTATTTAATTATTTATTCAATTATATTGTTACAAATTGATTTATCAAACACGATATAATAAATTAAAATATAATTTTAATTTATGAATCAAGACAAATAAAAAATTCAATTATTAAAATAATAATTACATGTTTATACAATTACTCTATATTATCCAAATTCTTTAATTTTTACTCTGATTTTATTATTATCAAATCAAAAGATGCACTATTACAAGTGATCAATTTAATATTATTATTTATTTGGAATCTAGTTCTTTATATTGAAATATTGATTCAAACGAACATATTAAATGGTTTTAATAATAAAAAAATTGTTTTTAGAGAGAAAATTTGAATAATTATGTTAATATAATATATACATATTCTCAATAATTAAAAAAATTATATCTAAAAATTATATTATAATCATTCAAAACTACTTAAAAATATTGATATTTCGAAATAATAGGTTTTGAATTTAATATTCAATTTATTTTATCATTCAGAATTATAAATCAAGTATAATATATATATATATATAATTATTATTTTAAATTAGAATAACATAATATTTAATCTTTTAATTTGATTACTTTTTTTTACAATGATTCTTGAGTTTTTAGCCACTAGATTTGCATTACACTATGTGTTCATATACGGGTACCTATATTTTTAGTATTCGAAGTACTAGGTACCTAATTCTTCGTATAGTATATTTGTCGGCTCGTGATACAATTTGTTCATTTCAAATATCCCATAGTCGGGTATTCTTAAAACTCGAGTATCTATATCTTTGGGTTACGAGTACCCGATTCATATAATTTTTTATTTAATCTTTTTGCAAAAATAATCACATAATAAATAAATTAAAAAAATTAAAAATTCATAAAACACCATCCATACACAAAAAATAGATATTCAAAGTTAATTTTAAGGATATATATATATATATTAAAGTTTTTTTTCCAAAAGAAAACATTAAAAATATTAAAATCGATCATGATTTTTTTTCTTCTAATCTCATATTCACAAATTAATAAAAAAATTTAAGAAAATTAAAACTTAAAACTTTTAAGTTAAAAATTACATGATACAAACCTTAATTAAAATAATTTAGAAATTTAAATTTCAAACAAAAAATTAAATTATATAATATATATATATATATATATATCTATATATATATATATATCTAATATATATATATATAAACAGGTTGGGTGGGTACTCAGTTATAAAAAATTCAGTCCATAACCGATCTAATTACCCGGAACAAATCACAGGTTGGGTATCCGGCCTGATCGAGCACTTTTTTTAAAATTTACTCGATTTTTTAAGGTTTAGGTCGACGGGTCAACAAGTCAAGTCAACCGGACACAACTTTATCCTTCCTTTAGCATCGTTACCTTATTGAGGACTAGTTTCAGACATTTTATTAAAACAAACATTTATTGGTAGGGGATACAATTAATTTTAGTTATTCTCTGAGGCCGACAAAGCTTCCTATTAAGAATATCTATGAGAAAAGGATGTCACGTTGTTGTCGTATGCAGCATGGGTTAGGAGGATTGATCCATGTTCAGCACAATTTCGGGTTGTGAATTAAAAAGAAACACTCCAAGTTGGAAAGCAAATGATGAGAATGACCTGTGCCTAAATTCTCATGCTTCCATGAACATGGATCAATCGATCATCTGTTTGCCATCATTTTCTCTTCTTTTTTTATAACACCAAAAAAATGATGATCAGCAACATTGAAAAATGAATATAAAAGCCACTTTCTAACATGAATGTATGCCTTCCCTTGACTGCATCTGCATTGATTATATGGAACAACTGAGTATTGTATATCGTTTTCGTTTCTGGAATTATCTTCAACAAACGGGGACTGCCCTTTGATAATCATACCCAGGAAAAAAGATCTTTAATAATCAACTTATGAACAAAGAAAACAATGAGAGGGGATGCATGCATATGAAAGAAAACCCTAGTTTATACTATTTACATGCTTGAACTAAATTATATCAAAAGTATAAATTGACTATCACATATAAATTAAAGTATTACACGTGTCTTAAAATTATAGGCGGGGTACAAGTAGGAGCAATGAGGGGCAGTAGATTTTCATTCCAACGATAACACATATAACACTCCAAATTAAGGAGATAATTCAGATTTAAACTATAAAGATATACATAATTGATAAGAATAAAATGTATTTATAACATGAATTATATCATATAATTTATTTACGTGACACTCTTTTAAAATAATATATTAACCATTAGATTTTTTTATTGAAGACACTTAATTTTGTCTTTTATTTATTAATATTATTATATTAGTAATTTTATTCTTTACATTTGTGCAGACCTGTTACATCAAATGAAATTAGTCCACGTATGGCCCAGCCAAGATCCAAAACGCGTTCCATCCGCATCAGCTAGGGTTTTCAGAACCCTAGCGCCGCATGTCATGTTCTCGATTGAGGTTCCCTCCCTTGGCACGCCACTTCTCACGCAACGACCCCCACTCTTCTCAGCCTCCAACCGACGTGAATATGTGAGACACCAACTGCTCAACAAAGCCCGATTCTCTCGGCCATGAGCAACAACCGTGGATGTCAAACAAATAGGGGTAGTAGAGTTTGATTAGAACTGAAATTGGACTAAAAACAAGCATGCATTTTTTGTATAAATAGGCTTGTAATCAAACTCATAGGGAGGAGATACACAGTATCAGGAGATCACAGAGAGTACACACCATATTACACACGATTACTGGCGAGAGATTTACACACACAAAATCCAACGAAAAACGGGGGAACCACGAGCAACAGATTCGAAATAGAAACGAAAAAGATAACCAGAGAGTGATTCGAAAAAAACTTACAGTGGAGGCTTCGAGCTAAAAGAGAAAACCTCGGAAAGAGCCAATAACATATCGCCAACTGTTTGCCTAACCGAGTCATCCACTCTTCTCTCGACCAAAACTGCCACACGACCATGAAAACGTGCATCCTTTGGCAAAGAACGACTGAAAATCCATGTACCCAACGAAGGAGACCATGAACAGCAAGAACCCGGTGGCGAACAGGAGCAGACCCGAGAAGGAATC